TCATGGTTTCACATGTACGGGTGAATGGATGGATGGACGTATGGATGAACAGACAGCCGACTGAGCCCTCCAAGTGGAGATAAAGAGCTTGAGGCAGAGCAGACATGTTAACCTCCTATCTTCTGCATCCTCTGCTTCTATTAATGTAGCGCAAGAGCCTGGGCCAAGGGAGGGATCTTTCCCAGGCTCTGAACTCCTCTCTACCGAATTTTTTCTTCCCCACTGGCTCTGGCTCTCCCAGAGGTCAAGTATCCTGCCCCACCTACCAGTCTGTTACTCCAAGCCAATTTTGACCCTTGTCTGCCAAAGAGTCAGAGAATGACCTTGTGGGATGTTCTACTAGGACTGGAGGTTTGGAGGGGTGATAGGGGTGCAGGGGTTGGGACTCCTATTGGATGAATGTGATGAAGTATCAGTGAGAGAAGGCAGAGAGAGGAGGCCAGCCCCCCGAGCCCATCCACTTTGGGTTTTTTGGTTTTTTTTTTAAGGGAGAGAGCAATTAAATGTGTATTTATTCCTTACCTGTTTAAATATAATATTTAATATAAAAGAATATTTGGAAGACACAATGTATAATAATATAATGGCCACCTGCAATCTATCACACGACGCACGCCTGGAATGAGGGTTGCCTCGAGAGACCTAAACTCCCTGAGCCCCCGGATTCCCGTCTGTCTCGCTCCGGCCGCACCCCGTCCAGCATCAACAGTGCCCAGTACCCTGTGGGCTCTTGAGAGATGTTCATAGGTGGAATTTCCCCATTCTTGATACCTTACCCCAGGGTATCAAGAAACTTGCCTGCTGGACCCTGACGCAGCCCCCACCTCTCTGAGGACGGTCCCTCAAGGAGCCCAACGCTGCCTCTCGAGAATGATGGAGGAGATGGGACGGGGAGAGGCCTCAGCAGGCCCAGGAATCAAGGGCTTCATATTCGAACCCAGTCTTCAAGTGAGGCTCAGTGTCACATGGCAGGGAAGGGAGAAATAGGGGACAGGAGTCTAGATCCAAGCTCCGGTCTAGGCAGGAATGAGTGGAAGGGACCCCTGTCCTGAAAGTGTGTGTTGGTGGGGGGAATCCTCCAACACAGACTGTGTGCTGGAAGGAGCCCGCTGCCACCACCTCAGCCAGGCTGATCGCCTCCCTGATGCGAGTCCAGGGGTCAGGCCCGTCTCGGCCCCCAGCTCTGCTCCCCGAGCACAGTGCCCTGGGAGCAGGCCTCGGGGAAGGAGGTGAGAGAGGGCCACATCCCCTGCAGTATCCTGCAGCCCTGCCCACCTACCAGCAAGGCTTTTCTCCATCTCCTCTCAGGGAACCCCCTCTCTGGGCTGCTGCCACATTCCCACCCCCGCAGCCCCCAGGCCCCTCCCTCCCGCTAGGGTGGGAGCACAGCAATTCAAGTTATTTTTAGCCAAGCCTCTTCCTCCAGGAGAGGCAAATGGAGGGGAAGCCGCCCCCGCACCTCCAGGAGCTGCTGGTGGAAAACGATTAAAACCAGAGCTGCCAGGCCCGTGCCAGGCGGGCAGCCGCACAGAGACAGGCCCATTCAGGTCCACTGGGCTCTCACCCTCGGGCTCCTGGGGCTGTGGCCTGGTTGCTAAGAGTGGCAGGGGTCTCCATATGCCCCTCCCAGCCACCACGGCCACCACCTCTCAGCCTGCCGGCTCCTGGCCCTGCCATCCCTGCCTACAGTGAGGGGGGCAACCCAGGGCAGCCCTGCTCTCCTCTCTCTCTCCCTCTGAGCAGGGCCCCTGGAGGTGGGGAGCTGCTCTGTTTCCAGGGAGGATTTTGAGGGGGGCAGGGAAGGACCCCAGTGCTGCCTGCCTGGCCTCCTGGCTACTTCAGGTCTGGTCCCAGGAGGGCTACTGAGTCAGACAGAGACCACGGGCCAGGCCCTGGAAGGTGCTTGGCTGGAACGGGTCCCTGGGGCCTCACCACAATCCGGCAAGTAGGTAGTGTCCTCATTCCCGTCTTACAGGAGGGGACACTGAGCCACAGGGGTTCAGGATTTGCTCCAGCTCCCCCAGCTGCTAAGTGTCCCACGGGATCTGGGTCGTACTCTCCAACCTTCGCCAGTGGAAGGGCTGGGGCAGAATGTGACGATCAGCCAATGAACAAGCATGGGGCGGACACAGAAGCAGGACTCCCCCATGTTGCCCTGTGGGCATAAGGTAGGCGCCCCCCCCCCCCAACTCTCGGCCGCTTGCCACGGGTTCCAGAGCCCACTCCACCGCAGGGTCACTCCTCAGGTGAGGCGTCGCCCTCCTTTCCCCAAGCTGCCACCAGAGTCTCAGGCGGGGTCCAAGCCCAGAAGAGCTTCCAGAAGTGGCTTTGACTGAGGAGAAGAAGCTGGTGACCCTGAGCAAGTCACTTCACCTGTCTCAGCCTCGGTTTTCCCATCCACGGCATGGGAGAAGCTAGAGAAGCCGATCAGAGGACCAGTGGGGACTGAGGATGAACGAGGTGAAGATCCTGGCTCCGGGCCCTGGTGGGGGCCCCTTTCCCTGCTGGAGCCCTGGACTTAGGGCTGTGTGCCAGGAAAGTAGGGATACCCAGTGTGGGCCACGCCTTAGGGCTTTGGGGGTACAGCTCAGGGAGGCCCTGATCAGCTGGGATCTGGTGCCAGAGCAGATCCCTACCTCTGCCTGGTCTTCCTGCCTTTGAGCCCAACAGCGTGCCTCCTCTGCCAGGAAGACTTCCAGGTTCCTCCTCCAACCTCCAGAGGCTCCTGGCCTGGATGGACCCCTCTCTGTTCTGCATCTTTTTTTTTTTTTTTTTTTTTTTTAAGGTTTTATTTATTGGAGTGCCTGGGTGGCTCAGTGGATTAAGCCTCTGCCTTCCACTTAGGTCATGATCCCAGGTCCTGGGATTGAGCCCCACTTTGGGCTCTCTGTTCAGCGGGGAGCCTGCTTCCCTCTCTCTCTCTCTCTCTCTCTCTCTGCCTGCCTCTCTGCCTGCTTGTGATCTCTATCGACTAAATAAATAAAAATCTTTAAAAGAAAAAGATTTTAATTTATTTATTTGACACAGAGAGAGAGATCACAAGTAGATAGAGAGGCAGGCAGGGGAAGGGGTAAGCAGGCTCCCTGCTGAGCAGAGAGTCCGATGTGGGGCTCAATCCCAGGACCTGGGATCATGACCTGAGCGGAAGGCAGAGGCTTAACCCACTGAGCCACCCATACGCCCCTCTGTTCTGCATCTTGGTGTGCTGTGCCTACAGCTTCCTCTCCTCCCAACCCTCCAGGCTCTGTGCACAGTAGATGCTCATGGTGATCGTGGGCGCAGCCCTGGCCCAGCAGACATAAGGGGTTTCAAGCTTGGAGTCCATCCACAGATCTCCTGGGTAGAGCCCGAGGTCATCTTTTCTCTTTGCTGCACGGCAAGCATCCCCCCCCAGCCTGAGTGGCTGAACCTATTTTACATGGAGGAAGGGTAGAAGGAGAATGAGGGGCAGCCCCTGGGAAATTGAAGGGTTTACCCAGTGACACAGCTTGGAAAGGGCAGTGCTGAGACCAAAGCTCATTGCCTATGGCCACAAGTCCTTCTTGCCCTTTAGGGTCCCCAGGCTTCCTGAGTGTGCCCCTCCTCAGATCCCCAGCTCTGCTCTTTCTGGTGTCCCTTGTGCCTCCCTAAACAGGGCTGGGTTTCCTTCTCCCTTATTCCATCCATGATGTGCTGGGGCCTCGGAGGGGGTTTTCCTGAAGCCCTAAAGGGGGAGCAGACAAGGGTAAGCCCAGAGCCCTCCAGTGACCTCCCCCACCCCACCCCCATGGGGTACAACCCTCCTGAGACCCTCATGGCCTCTCTGTCCTTCAGCCTGACGGGAAGATGCTCCCCACCCCTGGCCTCTCTTGAGCCTGGGCCTGGACGGTGGGCATCTGGGCGGGACAGGGTAACGGGAGGTGGAGGGGCTGCGGTTGCCATGGCAACGATGCTTCTGGCTCCCTGGAGGCTGCTGGGGAGGGAAAGGAAAGGGTCCCTCCCAGCTCCCCAGCTTCATTCTTCCTTTTCAGACCCTCTTTGTTCAAAAGGAGTCCCCTTGGCTGTTTTGTGTTTTCCACCTCAGAGGCAGGAGCGGGGTGGGGTGGATGTGGGGTGGGGAGGCACTCGGGGGTGCAGTCCTGGCCTGTCCAGCCCCCTCACATGCACCTACTCCACTCCCCCACCCCCCACCCTGCCAGTCAGTTCTCTGAGCCACCAATCCTCCCCTCTGTTCACATCCTCCCAGTCCCCGCCTGCCTGTGGTCGACTGACCCCTGCCTCCTCCCGGGGTCACCGCCACATGCCCTGCTTTCTAGGCCTGTCCTGGGTGAGTGGGTCTGAGAGGAGGGGCTAGCCCAGAGGGTCCCCCGACTTGGGGCATCTGTTGACCATAGAGGCCATGGGCTTCTCCCAGGTCACCTGCGGGGTCAGTGTTATGGGGTTCCCTCTATGGCCCCACTGAGCACACACCATCCCATCCTCCTCTGGGTCCTGGTGGGCATCTGGACCACAGCAGCTCTCCATTGGGCTGTGGGACCTCTAGCAAGTCATGCCCAAGGACTCTTGTCTCTCCCATCTGTAAATTACCGTAATGAGAACCCCGTCTCCCCACAAGACTGCTGTGAGGGCTCATGAATGCACAGGCAGGCTCTGGGAGGCTTCCCGCCTGCTCAGCCCTGGCCGAGGCTCTCCCTCACTGTTACAGATGGGGAGACTGAGGCTCAGTGATGTGAAGGCATTCTGCTGGTGAGTGGCAGCAGATTTGAACCCAAGCCCACCTGATGCCCAAACCACGTCCTCCAGTCACTCTGAGGTGGACCGGCAGGGGCGGGACCCACAGGCTTCCCTTTCTCTGCCCTGAGCTCTCTTTGGGAAAGACACTCCACCCTCACCCCCATCACCGCCAGGCGCTTGGAGTCACGGGGACCCAACCCACCTTGAAGCACCTGCCAAGAATGGACAGACAGAGCCTTGATCCATAGGTTGGGGGGATGGGGTGGGGTGGAGAAGCAGGTGTATTTGAGAGAGAGAGAGATCGATTGGGGAGGCTCAGAGGAAGTTCCCAGGAGAGGGGAGCTCCAGCCTGTCAGCAGTTGCATATTCCATCCGCAGGGCCGTGCTGCCCCCGTGTGGACAACGGGCTCACATTCCCAACTGCAGATGCCAGAACACTCCTGGGCGGGGGGAGCGGGGCGGGGGGGGTTGCTGAAAATCAGTGGCCTGGGGCTGTTGAAGGCATACCCAGTGACCTGAGGGATGGGCTGCACCTCCAAGCCTCCATCTGAACTGTCCTCTCTTCCTGCCAGGTCCTGAGCTGCCGCCTGGAGTCAAACCCTGTCCATCGCCTTTCCTTCTCCAGGAGCTTTGAATCCCAGACTCCCAGAGGTAAGTGAACTTATAAGTTATATTCCCCATCCTTCTATCCCATACTTCCTCCTCCATCCCCAGTAAGTAAAGCACTGCTGGCACACCTCTTGTACCAGGGAACTCACTGCTCTGTGGTTTGGGGGAAATTCTGATTGCAGAATTGATCCTCTTCCGTGGATCTCGTATTTGCCTCCATCAGTCACATCTTGGCCTTCTGGGGCCACCCAGGGCCAGAGGGGCCTTGCACTTGGGCATTTCTAAGCAGATCCAAAGCCCAACCCAGTGGTTAGGGGGCTCCTCTTCTCTGTCCCCTAGTCTTCCACAGAGAAAATATCCTGATTCTGATAATCCACTCACAGTCCCTCTTATTGGGGGCATACTGGAGGTCCCTATCTCTCTGGAACTGCAGGACTGGGGGGGCCCAGGATGCCTGAGGACTGTCACTTCCTCCATCCTGTCCCTCCCTTGGAGCCTGTCCTCAATTTTAGCACTCAGTTGCCACTGACACTCTTTCCCTAAGCCTTGTCCCCTCTCCAGAGGCCTTGTGGAGAAAAAGCATGGGTGGGACGGACAACGATTAAGCACCTAATGAGTACTCAGCGCAGTGTCCAGTGCTTTGCTCAAAGTACCCAGTGTCACCCCGTGAGGCAATTATTGTTATAATTATACTCAGACTGAGGCTGAGAGAGCTGAGACCCAACCTGGTAGAAGAGTGGACTGTTATCCCTGTGAAATCCCTCCAGGCTGCCTGGCTTCCTGCCTCCTGATTCTGCCATCCGTGTGGATTTGTGAAATGTGTACATTTAATTCCTCAGATATTTACCAAGGCCCTCCATGTACCTGGGACCATGCTAGGCACAGCGAAAATAACCCCGGATGTCTCCAACCCTCTTACTTTGCTGAGTGGGCCCCACTGGATCCTCCTTACTGCAGTTGGGCTGTAGCTCTGGACAAGGCCTGGGCGAGACACTGCCACTGCCAGTCACACGGCACAGGTGGGTCACATCCTGCCCAGTGGAAGGCTTGTCTGGTCTCTGGGCCTCACCTCTCCATCTTGCGCCCAAGGCACTGGCAAGGGGCCTGGTGGACAGATAGTTGGCCACGTCCAGTGAGTGGCTCTGCCCAAGGCTACAGAGGATGGCAGGTGAACTCAGGCCTCCACGTGGATGAAGGCAAGAGCTGCTTGCTCGCAGAGGGTAGAAGTGTGTGGACCCTGGAGAAAGGTTAAGTTTTTCAGCTTTTTTGTGTCAGAAACTCCTTTGATATCTTTAGTGATGTTTACTGATCTCTTTCAGAAAATGTGTGTGGGGTGAGTTTGTTTGTTTGTTTGTTTAAAGTAATCTCTCCACCCAACATGGGGCTTGAACTCTCGGCCCCAAGATCAAGAGTCTCATGCTCTTCTGACTGAGCTAGCCAGATGCCCCCCAGAATAATGCTTTTATTTTCATTTTTTAAAAGATTTTATTTATTTATTTCACACACACACACACACACACACACACACACACACAGTGAGAGAGGGAACACAAGCAGGGGGAGTGGGAAAGGGAGAAGTAGGCTTCCCGCTGAGCAGAGAGCCTAATTCGGTGCTCGATCCCAGGACCCCGGGATCATGACCTGAGCCAAAGGCATACGCTTAATGACTGAGCCACCTAGGTGCTCCCAGAATAATGTGTTTAAATGTGTAAAATAAAACAGGATTACAAGGGATTTTCATGAACAGGGAAGGATGTCCATGAATTATGATTGAATGAATAAAATCAGGTTACAAAAGAGCTTTTTTTTTTTTTTTTTAAAGATTTTATTTATTTATTTGAGAAAGCTTGAGGGTGAAAGAGCATAAACGGTTTTGGGGGAGGCAGAAGGAGAAGCAGACTGCCCTGCTGAGCAGGGAGCCCAACGCTGGGCTTGATCCCAGGATTCCAACATCATGACCTGAGCTGAAGGCAGATGCTTAACCGACTGAGCTACCCAGGTGTCCCAAAAGAGCTTTTATGGAAGGAAGGAAGGAAGGAAGGAAGGGAAGAGAGAGAGAGGAAACTATCCTTATATATAGGGCAGGCCCAGCCGTCTTTCCTTACCTTGAAAAGCATAGCAGCCAATGGCTCCAAGGTCATGTTCCCCTTTGGCCCCTGAACGAGTCCACTCAGATCACTGTCAAAACTCCTGGCTCTCATCACTTCTCCCCCTTTGTCTAGCAGCTGGGATCCCACCCTGGGCCAATCCCTCTAGCAGCTCCAATGTTCATGTATGACCATCACCTGTCCCTGAATCTGCCTCCCCGTCAGACTATGGCTCTCTGCTCACTGCCTGCTCTGCCACCGTCATAACAGCCTGGCAAAACAGTTCCAAGCAGGTGTCACTGTTCACTTTTTAGGAGCTCACTGTGGGAGCTACGGCTCAGCCGGAAGGCCACACGATGGAGCAACCTAGTTCCTCTAAAGTCATTCCAGCGCCTTCTGCTGGCCCCTACCCTGCCCGGTCCTCTCTCTCAAGGGTGCAGCAGTCAAACCTTCTTCTCTCTGTCTCACCCTTTGCGTCTACCTCTCCCACTCCCTGGGCTGAGGTCCTGACTCGCCGGCATGGGGCCACCCCTACTTCCCACAGTCCCCACCTCTGCCCACTGGCTCTCCCACCCGTTCTCAGTAGCCCTTAGGACTGCTCCTCCAGACACCTTCCCTCTGGCCTCAACTGTTTCTTGGCACTAGGTCCCCTGCTAGCATCTGAGCCTGCTTTTCATTATCCTGACTCACACTTGCCAGATTTCTCTCCCCCTTCTCAGGAATGCTTTGTTAAGGAGTGACTGCCATGTCCTGCCTCCACATCCCCGGCTCTCTGCAGTATGTTCCTGTCACTCCACGAATCCACCTTGCTGAAGAATGTCCATCCAGCCGGTGGTTAATAAGTTCCTATTCTGCATCAATGCTGTGCCAAGCAGGGGGAAAGGAAAAGTGACCCAACCAGTCCTGAACTCATGGCACTTGTGCCAATGGACACATACACAAGTAAATAAAGAACAGGATTAGAGTCTGGAAAATTCTGTGAAGGAAGCAAAGAGACTGAGAGCACAAAGGAAAGCACTGGGGAGATGGAGTGGAGTGTATCTATTTTATTTTATCATTATTTATTATTTTTTTATAAGAGACTCTTTTTTTTAAGGTTTTATTTATTTATTTGATAGAGAGAGAGATCACAAGTAGGCAGAGAGGCAGGAGTGGGGGGGAAGCAGGCTCCCCGCTGAGCAGAGAGCCAGATGCGGGGCTCAATCCAGGACCCTGAGACCAGGACCTGAGCTAAAGGCAGAGGCTTAACCCTCTGAACCACCCAGGCGGCCCTGGGTGTATTTATTTTAGATACCTTATCTAAAGGCCTCTCCAAGAAAGCAGGCCATCCAAAGAGCAGTGAGAAGGTAGTCCAGGGGGAGGGAATAGCAAGTGTAAAGGCCCTGAAGTCAGAACAAGGATTCATGGGCGCCTGGGTGGCTCAGTCAGTTAAATGTCTGCCTCCGGCTCAGGTCATGATCTCAGGGTCGTGGGATGGAGCCCCAGCATCACTTTGCATTAGGCTCCCTGCACTACTCCTTCCCCGCTGCTCATGATCTCTCTCTCCCAAATAAATAAATAAAATCTTAAAAAGAAAAGAAAAGAAAAGAAAAAGAACAAGCATTCGTGTTTGGTAGGAAAGAAAAAAAGCCCATGGGTTTGGACGGAGAGAAGGGAATGATAAGGGGAGGGTTGCCAGGCTTTGGGGAGGTAAAGAGTTTATTTCCAAAGCAAGGAGAGGCCTTTGAAGACTTTCAATGACAAGCTCTGCTTTGTGTCTTTAACAACGCCCTCAGCCCCCACTGCTGTGTGGAGACTGAACTGTGGGGGGAAGAGAGAAGAGTTGTCAGGAGGCAAAGCCTAACTCATTTTCGATGTCCAATAGGCGTCTCAGATTTAATGCATCTAAACGGAAACATCTGGATCACTGGCCTCCTTGAAACAAAGCAACAAAAGCCCTGTCCCTCCCAACCTTTCCCATTTCTGTGAACAGCACCAGCATTCACCCAGATGTCCAAGCCCCAAAACTTAAGGGCCACTCTGGCCTCCATCCTCTCCCTGATCGTCTGCATCCCAAGTCCCATATACATATCCACTCTCCTCTACACCGGCTGCCCCGGCTGGGCTCCAGGTTCCCTCACTCTCTGTGGAGCCGGACACCAGCCTCTTCACAGCTCCCCCGCCTCACCTCTGCCCCCTACAGTCCATCCTCCGCTCAGTAGCTTGGGCGGAGAGAACACAAGTCTGTCACTCCTTGCCTAGCACGCATCCCTCAAGGACTCCCTTCGCCTCCGGGACCTTTCACGAGAACTGGGTCCCAGGAGCTTGGTCCAGGAGGAATGAATGTAAGTAAAACCTGAGGAGCGCACAGCCAGGCTCGTAGCACCGCCTTTGCGTCGGCTTGTGCCGTCCCGGGCTTCGGAACTTTTCTTCCAAGCGCCGGGGGAAGCTTTTCCAGAAGTACCTTCCGGCCTCGACGACCCTATTCCCCTGCTGCACCGCGGCCTTCCTCTCTCCCTTTCTCTTCCGGTCCGAGGCGCTTCGGCAGCCGCGGGCTTCGGTGAGTCTTGGCCGCGCGGTATCTGGAGCCATCCGCGGCTCCCAGCCGGCGTCCGGACGCAAAACCGGGAAGGACAGGGAGGCCGGCTGCATGACTGTGGGTAGCGGAGGGCGTGGGGCGCGGGTGGACCTTGTGGATTCTCGAGGAGTGGATGGGAGAGGGAGAACTCGGATTTGGGGTAGAACGCAGTGTAGTGAGGGAGGGTTGGTTTCAGGGCCGTCTTAGCCGAGCTCTGGAAGCCGGGACCGTGTCGGGTCGTGCTGAGTAAGTGGAGGCCGATGGGAAGTGGCAGATTCAAGGCCTCTGTGCTGCACCTGCGTTCTGGCTTCTGGCCTCACGTCCTTCCAGGTCAGCGCCCAGCCAGCCCTGCGAACCCCCCAGCCCTGATCTCCACTCTCCTCCCCCAGGTGCAGACATGGCCAAGTCCAAGAACCATACCACGCACAACCAGTGTAAGTTCCCCCGCCCCGCCTCGGTGTCCCTTCAGACCCTGGCAAGGATGAGTGGTGCTGGGGCAGGGCAAGGGGACGCTGTGGGCCTGGGGCTGGTTTTGTTTTCGCCAGGATGACGTTCGGGTTACAGTGGAAGAAGCCAGGGGTCCTCTTGAGAGGCCCCCAGGGCTTTGCAACGGGGATGAGAGCTGGTGCAGACCTCGAGGAGACCTGCTCTGGGAAGTGCTGGTTTTCCCAGGCCAGCCAGCTGTGAGGTCGTGTGGTCTCACTGGAGCAAATCTTGTTTGGTCTAATTCCTTTGCTTCCCCACAGCACGAAAATGGCACAGAAATGGCATCAAGAAACCCCGGTCCCAAAGATACGAATCTCTTAAGGGGGTGAGTGAGCAGGGGGGGTGTCCGCTTGGCCCCAGTTGCACAGCCACAGCCTCTCCTGTATCTGCTTCCAGCTCAGCGTCTGCCCGAGCAGCAACATTACAGCTGCCCCTCGTCTTCCCAGGACTACCAACGCCCACAGGTTCTCTCTCCAGCCAGCTTTTGCCTGCACTTCGTGTTCCGCCAAAACTGTAACAAACCTTTACTTGACTTTTCCCAGCCCAGGTTGTAACTGCCCAGTCGGGTGTAACCTGCCCCCCTGAGGGTAGTTGGACTGTCCTCCTTGCTTATCCAGAGCACTTCAAGGGAAGACGTGACCTTTTCTCTGTGTAACTCTGAGAGCCTTGCATTCTACCAGCCTGCGGCCTTGATCGGACCCAGTGCTGGGCTTGGGGGCTGTGCCGAGGAGTTCTAAGGATTGGCTGGGAAGGCTGAGGCTGGAGGGTCTAAACAGAACCGGGTCCTATCTCTCCCCTGTGCCCCTTGGTCTCTGGTCTGTGGAATGAGCCATTAAATCTCTGGACCTCGGTTTCCCCGTCTTGGTCTCTTTTTCAGTCTCATTTGCTGTGTATCTGTTAGACGAGGCTTGGTGCTTAACTGACTCCTTCCTTTTAAAGAGGTGGGGGTGACCCTGAGGGTGTCAGGAAAACCTCAGCCCTGCAGGCCTGGCAGAGGGAGCAGCCTTCGTGTGTTTGTTCTTTCCCTCTGCGCTTGCATTTGAGCTTCATTTCTGGGCTTGTAGCCCTGAAAATACGGTCTGTGTGTGGCATTAGCAGAGTGGAGTGTTGGCCTTGGGTGTTTAGTGCATGTTTCTCTAAAGGACATACATCTCAGCATTTAAGTTTGACTTAATGCTGTCTATGCCCCCAGTAGGCCTTGGCTGGAGCCCGGTAGTCTCCTGGGTACAGGTGTGGAGAGGGCCACCAGCAGTGGCTTGGGGCCCCACATGCACTTAGAGCCTTTACCTTGCCTTGCCTTCCAGGTAGACCCCAAGTTCCTGAGGAACATGCGCTTTGCCAAGAAGCACAACAAGAAGGGCCTGAAGAAGATGCAGGCCAACAACGCCAAGGCCATGAGTGCACGTGCCGAGGCTATTAAGGCCCTCGTCAAGCCCAAGGAGGTCAAGCCCAAGATCCCAAAGGGCGGCAGCCGCAAGCTCAATCGACTTGCCTACATTGCTCACCCCAAGCTCGGGAAACGTGCTCGTGCCCGCATTGCCAAGGGTCTCAGGCTCTGCCGGCCAAAGTCCAAGGCCAAGGCTCAAACCAAGGCCCAGGCTTCGGCTGCGACTCCGGCTCCAGCTCCAGCTCCTGCTCCTGCTGCAGCTCAGACTCCCAAAGGTGCCCAGGCCCCCACAAAGGCTCCAGTGTAGAGACTTCTGTCTGCCAGTGTGAAGACAGAAGGACTGGTATGACCCCTGGGCTTCTATCCGAATGGGGCTGGTGTCCTCCTGTGCTATTTGTACAAATAAACCTGCGGCAGGATCTGTCATTTGGCCTGTGTCTGTGGTCCAGGGACTGGAGAATGGGTGAGAGTTGGGGGAAATGGGGCCCTGGAGTACAAGAAAAGGACCTAGTGAAAGACATGGTGGAGGGCTTTAAGGAGGCTGGGGCACATAGTCTGCTGGCTTGAGCAGTTTGGTGGAGAAAGAGAAATCCCAAATACCCTGGTAAGCCTTAAAGTTTACCCTGGGGATAAAGAGAAGGACCCTGCTGAGTTTTGGACTCTGGCCTGAGGCAGTCCAGACTTAGGCTGTTCTAGTGTACTGAGCCAGCATCCACCACTCTGGGTTATGCTGGGGGCTCTGGGACACAGGGCTGTGGGGGCACTGCCCTAACTAGCACAACTGGGCCAGACCCAACTGTACCCCTGGATCAGCTGCTTGATGTGCAGAGTAGAGCAGCTAGTGAAGCAAGTGGTATAGAGTTCCTAGGCATTCGTGGAGGCTTCCTTAGAAGGTGCCAAGCATATCACTTCCTGGTCATGCAGTCCTCAGAAGCAGTCTTTGAGTATGGTTGTCCTGTAATGTGTGGACTAGCCTTGGGCACATGGGGGGGTTCCGAAAGGGTTGCACTTCCTGGGGCACCTGGGTGGCTCAGGTGGTTAAGCATCCAGACTCTCGATTTCAGGCTCAGGTCATGATCTCAGGGTTCTGGGATCAAGCCCCAAGTTGGGTCTCCTGCTCAGGAAGGGGTCTGCTCTCTCCCTGTGCCCCTCCCCACCCGCTACACATGCACGCACTCCCAAATCTTAAAAATGGAGGCAACAGGTAACCTCCCATGATAAATGGTCCCTCTTGCTCTAAAGTAGGTATCCTCTTTGTTTCACATGGAAGGGAACACTCAAGATGGCGGAGCTCTGGGACGGAAGTAGTGTGCTGGGACCCAGGCAGCCCATGTAGGACCCCAGAAAGTTTGCTCAGTCATGGCTGGGCTGCTAGCTCATGGCTGTCATCCTGGCATGCTCTGGGTGGCCAGCTGCCCAACACCAAGGGGTGTCATTTAGGTGGGGTCCTGAACCAGGAGCAGGTTTTCTGTCCTGAAGGTAGTTTGGCCCAGCCTGAGGTCATCAGGTCAGGTGGCTTCCAGTGAGGACTGTGTTCTGGTCCCCATGATGGCATGAAGACTCCTTTCCCCTGTCATCCTGCTGCAGTCTGAAGAGGGAGGCCAGACCCCAGGTCAGGGGCTTCAACTAGGCTTAAGGTCACAATCAGCTTGCTATCAACCTCTAGCTCCCACATGGCACCTCCCTTGTATAGAAAGCACAAGTCCCTAGTTTTTGCGTCTCAAATCTTGATTCCCATTACCTACAAACTATGTGGCATTGGGCAAGCTATTCTAGCAGAGCTTCTACAGTGGCTCAGTGAAACCTGCCCCCAGGGGCTGCTGGGAGGTCTCAAAGCAGATGGAGCTGGCCAGAGTCCTGTCCTGGCACAAGCAGCGGCTGGAGGCCACAGAACCCGGCTGTGGACTTCCCTCTGGCCACAACTAGAACTTCAAACCCTTGCCCTCTGTCTCACCCCATGCCTGTGCAGATCCAAACAGGACTGGATCAGATCAGTTAGAGGAGCCATAGTGACTCTTGGTCCTGCCCGGAGCCCCACTGAGCAGGGCTGACATACCAAAGCCTCACTCGGCCACTCAGCACACACTGATCCCTGCCCGAGGTGTAGGGACCCTCAGATGAACTGACCTGGTCCACCAGAGCTCCTGCTCCTCTGTGACTCATGCTCCCAACACCAAAGCAGGGGCTACACCCCCCTGCTGTCATCCTGAGGGTCTGATGAATGTTAGCAGTTGTGGCATGCCAGCTCTCCCTCTACCCGCCCCACATCTGGCAGGGCTCAGCTGGCCTTCAGCTCTAGTCCTGTCTCAGAATCCTGAGTTGTTCCCAGAAAGCCAGAAGTGTTTCCCTGAGATCTATGCTTTGGTTTCCTCCTTGGAATGGTGTCCCCGACCTTGTAAGTCAGAAAAAGGTGTAGTGGCCACTGAGAACAGGAACTATGGTCCCTTGATGCTAGGCACAGACATGTCTGGGTGGTAGTGGATGAGTGTGCTGTAGGGCACAGAGCAGCATGGGGTCGTAGGGAAGTACCCAGAGCCAGGCTCAGTTTTACCATCTGTGAAATGAAGATGGGAATCGCATGGCCCCAGAGAAATAACAGAATCCCTGCTCCATGAATGTCCTTTTTCTCAGTACTGCAGAACTGGCCCTGTCCACACGCAGACTTTATTGTTGAGTGTGGGGCAGAGGGGTCCTTGGCACTGGTCTGGTGGACACTCCCGGGGTAGAGGTTGGGGAGCCTGGGACTCAGCCGTCACTGGGCAGGGCAGGCACACTAGCCAGAGCAGGCAGCAGCTGCGTGTATATGTCAACCCCACGGAGGAACACGGCCTCGTGCAACCGTTCATCGTGGTCATGCAGCAGCACAGGTGTGCGGTTCATGGGTGAGAAACCCAGCGCCGGGACCCCCACCTGCAGGGCGGCAAGGAGAAGCCATGAAGAGAAGGGCCGGCATCCAGGACCACCCCCTGCCTACCCACTGCAAACAGCTCACCGCACGGAGGTAGCGGCTATCGGTGGCAGCGGGGAAGATCTCTGGCTCCAGAGTGATCTTCCTGCGGAGAGAGGAGCCTGGTGAATGAGGAGGCAGAGAGGGGAGAGGGCAAGGAAGAGACTGAAGGGGCAAAGGAAGATGGAAGGGAGGTAGAAGAAGGAGAGAGGAAAGGGGTAGAGAAAGGCTGCCCATGTGCTCACATGTCCTTGCAGGCCCCGCTAAATGCTGCCCACCAGGGGTCTGAGTCATCAGTAGATGTCACTCGGGGTTCTGTCCACTTCTGGAAGGGGGGCAGGATAGCAGGATCAAGACAGGGCCCGGACATCTTCCCCTTTTCTTCACAGGCTACTCTGAGCCTGGCCTAGGCACACACCCACCCAGCCCCACCTCCCACCGTGGCTTCCACCCACCTACCCAGATAGCCAGCCGGTCAGTCCAGCCACAGGCCCTCTTTCAGTCCCTTAAAGGCCACAGGTCTGGGACCTGCTCTCCATCTACTGACTTCCTGTCCAGCTTTCCTATCCTAGGTCTCTTCCTCAAAATGGCTCTCCCAGACCTCTCAGACTGGCCAACTGTTTGTTACAGGTTCTGAGTGCGGGGTCCCACCCCTTCCTAAACCGAGTGTGTTCAGACTCATATAAAAGTAGTAGTATATAAATGTTTAATTGAGGTCTTTCTCGTCTCTTCATGCTGTAAGAACGATGAGGCCGTGAACTGTGTCTAATTTCACTTCTACGGTATCTCCAGCACTCAACGGTGACCTGCACCATGAATGCTTGTTGAATAAAATGTGTCCCTCACAGCTACAGACACCCAGATGTAGCCAAGCACCCACTGCCACCAGGACACACACCCAGCAAGCCCAGGCTCCCCAGCTCCCACAGCATCTGACCGTGGGTCCCAGCTGATACCTGAGCAAACTCGAAGGTGACCCCCTCACCAGCTGCCCGGCACCAGCCCTGCAGCTGCTCCTCGAAAGCCTGTGAGAAGGGAGATGAGCTGACCTCTCTGGCTTTCCCTGAGCCTCCAGCCCAGGACTGAGGACCTGGCTCCCCACTCCAAACCCAGGCGGAGGAGGCACCTTCAGGTCCACGTCTGGTGCCACACGGAAGTCAAAGCTGGCGCTCATAGTTGCAGGTACCACGTTATAGGCCACGCCGCCCTCTAGCTTGGTCAGGTTCACGGAGGTCACAGCCCCGGCCTTCAGGTGGGGGTCTGACTGCAGCCTGCGGTGGGAGGCGGGGAGGGGCGGCAGGGGGAACAGCAGATGAAGAGCCTCCCTTCTTTGGCAGGGCCACCGCCCAGACCCCCATCCTCTTTCCCAGCCTGCCTCACCTCTGCCTCTCCTTCTCCCGGAAAGCCAGGACTGAGCTCACCACCTTGTGCTAGGAGAGTGTGAGGTCAGATGTGAGTGTGGCCCCAGGAGAGAGCCTCAGGGATTCCCAAACTCCCTCCCTGTGTGCCACGCACCAGCTTCTCTGCTGCCGTGTCCTCGATGAAGCGTGAGCTGTGGCCTGGCTTCCCGATGCTTGAGATCCGCACCCCTGGGAGATGAGGGAGAAGGGGGTGTCTTCAGCATGGGAGGGGCTGGAAAAGTGACCAGCCTGGGGGTGGGCCCCAGCCTTCCCCTCATCCCCAGCTCATCTGGCAGGGTTGTTCTCCTTAGAACGCAAGGTGTAGAGCTGGTTTCTGTCCATGGGGGGCTTCCCTCAGAAGCTCAGGAAGAAGTCCAGGTAGAGAGGGGCTCTGGGTTCAAGGCCTACTCAGGCCCTGACATGCTGCATGACTCTTGGGAAGCCCCGGCCCTTGTGGCCTGGCATCCCAGTGCACAATGACACCCTCCCTCCAAGCCCATACTCACACCAGGGGCTCCGCTCACTGTAAAAGACAGTGAAGGCATCAGTGGGGTTGGCCAGGCCTGGGGAGGGAGAGGGGATTCAGAGTGTGGAGTGGCCCAGCCCCTAACAGCCTCTCTGTCCCCTGCCAGCCACTCAGGAGCCTGCCAGCCTGTTCACCTTCATCCAGGGCAAAGCCAGCCCTCAGGGCCTGGAACTCGGGCCGCCGCACAAACAGCTCCATGCCTTGGTGACCCCCAACTTCCTCATCTGTCAAAGCAGCAGGGACACGAGATGAAAGATCTGTCCCTATCACCAAAGCCTCCTGCTTCTGAAAAGTGGCTCTCCCCAAGCCACTCCTACCTGGCACAAAGGTCATGTGGATGGTCCTGGGGAAATGGTGGCCCTCAGCCTTCAGCCTCCTCACAGCCTCCAGGTACCTGAGGGGCAGTGACAGGGTAAGCCAGGTGCTAGGGGAGCCACCAGATATTTGGGCGGGCAGGCTGGAGCCCCGGGCCCCTGCAGCCTGCTCTGCCACAGCCTGGCAGGGGACTCTGTCCTTCAGTCTCCCCATCCATGTCAAGGTGATAATTCCTGTTCAAGATAAGGGGTTAAGGTGTTCCTTGGCCTTGAGGTTCTCCAATCACACCCACACCAGGCCCTGGGTCAATTCAGCAAGCCATAAGGGGCATTGTGGGGGACAGGAAATGGAGGACACTCACTGGATGCTGACACACTTCATGTCCTGGGCACCCCTGGCATAGATGTAGCCCTCAGCATCCTTGAAGGCCTCAAAGGGGTCATGACTCCAGTGTTCCTGGGGCAGAGATGAGAAGAGGCCCCAAATTTAGTCATTAATCTACTCTGCTCAACTGTGCCCCTGATCTAGAAGCCTACCCTAGGGTTGGGGTGACAAGTGGGGTGGTGAAGGGGACAGAAGCGGGCTGAAGAGTGCAGCAGACTGCAGTCCCTCATCTCTGCTCCCACTGCTACCCCAGGCACAGAACGGATCCCTGGGCAAAGGCTGCCTGAATATAGTCGTGTCCTATGAGATCGGGAGTCAGTTTCAAGACAAGCCCCTGAGGCTCTCTGGGGTCCAATGGGGGTTCTGAGTCATCTGTGAACCCCAAGGCCTGCACTGCTTCCCACGCCCCACACACCTTGAAAACAGGCACCACGTCCGTGTGAGAGTTGAGTAAGACAGAGGAGAGTCTGGGGTTGGTGCCCGGCCACGTCAGAATGGTCACCACACGGCCTGGTGCCACCTGGAGAGGACCAGGAGGTGAGCGGGTGCCCCGGGGCCACCTCCCCTCCCCATGACGGGCCCTAGGCTCACCTCCACTTTCTGACAGCCTAGGCCCAGCTGGCAGGCTCTCTCCTCAAGGAAGGCCACGGCAGCCCCTGGGGACACAGAGAGTCTTGGGGCTGCTTCTGCCTACCCACACCTCCCACCAGCCCAGGCAAAGCTGGGGGTACATCCAGAGAGGGGAGCCGATCCTGAAACAGGCTGCTGCCTCCGCACTGCAGTTCCACACCCCTCGGGGACACCTGCATTTCTGTCTCCAAGGGAGAAGATATCTTTGGCCAGTCAGTGACCCTTTGTGGAATGTCAGGTGGGAAGTCCATAGTTAGAAACAGGAGTGACTGCTCTCTTCCTTAGGGATGGGAAAACTGGTGCACAGGCATGAGATTAACCCCATGTGCCCCAGCTGGTAAATACGGGGCAGGGGTTTGGACCCATGTCCACAATTCCCAGCCACCAAGCTTGATTTCCTAAGGGCTGTGGTCTTTGTCCTGCCCCAGTAGGCTTCTGGAGCTTCTTCCCTTGGAGCTGTCTGGTCTCCCCTCCCCGTCCTCAAACCCGGAGCAGTGAGGCGAAGTTGTTCCCGAACCAGCCACCAGTCTGCTGACCTGGGGAACGGCGAGGGGCGTGGAGGTGTCAGTTGAGGCAACAGAGTGGGACTCAGCTAGGTGACAGTGTTTGGAGTCTGGTGTAAGGCAGTCCCCGCCCCGGAACCCCACCGCAGGCCCTGGAACCGCCGCGTTCTCACCGTAGTCCGGCTGGGGCTGGACCGTGCGGATGCGCAGGTACTGGCGGAAGAGCGTCACGGACGGGTGCTCGCCCTCGCGACCCTCGCTGGCCATGGCGCTGCGCGCGGTGAGCTAGGGGCAAAGCGAGTGGCTACCTACCCCTCCCAGCCAATGCGGCCCCGTGGACTCCACCTACTCACGTCCCTTCCCCAGGGCGTTTCCCCACACGTCCCACAGGGAGAAGACCCCCTGTTTTCGGAGCCCCCATTCTGTTCCAGGAGCTGTGCTGGTCGCTTTCAATACATTTCCGTATTGAATCCGCCAAAGAGCCCCGGGAAGTTCGTGCCTCTGTATGCCTACTTTACAGACAGAGGAGAAGGCTGAGGCTGAGAGGTTCAGAGACAGCTAGACAGTAGCTGAGCCCGGTCTGAACCCAGACATGGGCTCTCCCTACCCTCCTCAAAAAAATTCTCCCAACTGCCCGGATTTTATGCCACGTAACCCCAGACCCTTTATCCCTCTCCGGGGTCCCACCTCGCTCTCTGCTGGTCTTGGGCCGGCGCCTGCTTCTCAGCGCCAGCCCCGAACTGTGGCCCAGGGCTCAGGGTCCTGCGAGGTCTAGGGCTCAGAACCGCCCCCTCCGCCCACCACGTGGCCGGACCGGATCCCGGGGCGGGGCCGAAGACTGCGAGCAAGGGCCACCTACGTCCCCGCGGCCGCGAAGAAGAAGGCGTCTTCACCCGCCCCAGGTTCCAGCCTCCTCTCGGATTACGGGATCCTGCGATCCTCCCCGGGGTCAGCCACCGCCGCCGCCGCCAGCTCCGCCCCGGCGGCCGTCCGCCCGCAAGCCCGCCCCCAAGCCCCGCCCCGCAGGACTAGTCTGCCAGCCACGGGTAGTCCGGCCGGGAGAGGGCTCTACCATCCGCAGTCTCCAGATTGGGCGGGGTAGAGAGGAGAGCGGATACTGACAGGGAGGTTGCGTCTGCCCGCTCAGGCGCCCCTCTTGGGGTACAGCGCTACAAAGTCCTGCCAGAGCTGGCCCTGCCTACTCCCCCGTCCCCTCCCTCGAGTTTCTTGACTTCTCCCCTTTCCGTGTCTCAGCTCCTCAGGGAGGTCCCCGCTGATTGCCCCAGGCCCCGTGTGGACAGGTTTTTGGTTAATAACTGTCCCCTGTAAATTCCAGAAGGCTGGCTGCTCCATGTACCCAAAGGATTCTGTCGCCGGCGGGGGGGGGGGGGGGCACAGAGCGGTGTCAGAGCGGCTGCCAGACACGTGCCAGGAACGGAGGATAAAGGGGCAGAGGAAAGGCACATGTGTGACTTCGTGTGAGATCATGCGAGTGTGCCACTGTGGGAGGTAATCCAACAGTGTGTATCAGCGTGCGTGTGTGTGACAATGCGAGTGTGAGATGTGGCTGGTGTGGCAGCGTCTGTGTGACAGAGGATGTCATGGTGAGAAGATGTAACCAGACGGCTATATGATCATGTGAGAGGGGCTGAGCAGCACCAGAGCGTACATGTGGCATACTCTCGGCTGACCCTGTGCCAGGCTCCCTGGCTCTCCTGCAGCCACCAGAGAGGGAGGATAAAGAGGCACAGGTGTCCCACTGGCCACCCCCAGGCTGCACACAGTTGTAGCTGCCCACGTGGGTGTCTGGGTGTCCTTTGTACTCCGGCCAGTTCTGCCCCCAGCTATAGGGGCTGAGTCAGTGTGGGGAGAGGCAGGGCTGAAGACTTCAACCTTTGTGCCCCGAGGAGGCAGGCTGGGAGGGAAGGGAAGGGGAGGGGGTCCGTCCCAATCCTCCTGGGGTCTAAGTTTGATCTGCTTGCTGACCCATACATACCCAGGGGCAAGCAGGCTGGGCAGTTCACCACCAGTGCTGTGTTAATTGTTAAACCACATTCCCCACTTCTATCCCTACACATCCTGCTCCCTTTGGCCATAGGTACTGCATTCCTGACTCACTGGCACAACGGCCAGACCCTGGATTTCCTACCAACCCCAGTGGTCACACGACAGCAGTAACACCCGCTCGCCCAGACCCCCACAAGCTCCGTGAGACCAAGTGCTCCATATACCTAGACTGAGTCAATTTTAAAACCAAATTTTGAGCCAGGTATTACCATCATGCCCAGTTTACAGGTGAGGAAACTGAGTCACAGAGTAGTGAGGGCAGCTAGCTAAGAAGTAGACCATCTCGGACTGCTGAAGCCTCCCTCCAGCTCCCAGCCCCCAAGCAGTCCCGGACCTGCCTCTCACTCCCACCCCACCTGCTGCAACCCCAGGAAACAGGACCTGCCACTCCCTAGACATGACAAAAAAATGTGTTTTTTTTTTTTTTATTGTGCCTGTGAGATGAAATAAGAGGTCCCAACTGGGCCCGGCCCTCTGGCCTCCACCCTCCAATCCCAGGGGCTGCCTCCCTGGTGGGGCACTGGTCCGGACTCTCCCAGCTCAGGCCAGGCCTGGGGCCTGGTCAGTGGGTGAACTCAAGGCAGGCGGTCAAGGAAGGCCAGGAGGACAAGGTGGAAGTCTTGCGGCTTGTGGAGGTAGCAGGCGTGGCCTGCATCACGCAGCTTCACCACAGAGTGGTTGGGCAGATGGCGGAGCTGCCGCAGTGACTCTCGGGCCAGGATACGGTCCAGCTCCCCATACAGGATGAGAGTCGGGGTCTGCAGGGCAAGGCAAGGGGCTGTGATCCTGAGGCCTGACGGCGACTGACCCTCTTGCCACCTCCTTAGGAAATCTTTCCCAAACACCCCACCTCTTTCTATCCAGATGAGGCCATGTGTCCTCCAACTGAGACCTGAGTCCTCCCCCCTCCCATGTCTGGAGCCAGGGATAGGAAGCTGGACCTTTGGAAACCCTCCTTCCAGTACCTTCACGGCCCAGAATTGTTCCTGGGTGTAGTTCTGGGTGGAGGCAGGTGCAATGGGCACAAATCCACGCAGCTGGTGGTGCCCTCGGATCAGGAATGGCAGGGCATAGCGGCCACTCAAAGAGGGGCTCACCAAGACCGCATTGTGCACCTCCAGGTCTCGTAGCACTCGCTCCAGGAGCTCTGCCCGCCCTGCCTCTGTGCTTGCCTCCTTGGAAGGTGCCGAGTTCCCAAAACCTGGGAACAGCAGGAGGCACCAGCTGAGGGAGGCTGGAAAGGAACCCAGGACTTCCTGCCCCCCCACAGTGGGGGAAGGAGCAGAGGCACAGGGCAGCACTACTCCCAAACTTCCCGTAAGCTATTTTAGGTAATAGGATAGGTCCGCTAGAAAAGCATCTTTCACTCATTAGGGTGGCAAAACTAAAAAGACTGACAATATGCAGTGTTGGGGAAGATGTGGGGAAATGGGCACTTTCATCCATGACTGATGGGAGTATAAATCCATGTCGCATTTTTGGAGGGTAAGGTAATATCTGTCAACATTTTAACAAATGTGCATCCTCTGACCCATCAATGATTCTTGGTAGCTACCCTATAGAAATTATTGCCTCCACGCTCAAAGAAACATGTCCAAAGTTGCTTCAGCTTCATGCCTCAAGCATTTCCACTGACGCTGGAAACTCTTAATCAACTTATGTATCTACCAGTGGAGGAATGGGCAGATGTTCATAGTGACTGGCCCGCTCTAGTATTGGGGGAGAAAACCAAGCTGCAGAGAGATTTGCTAAGCCGACAGGACATGAGTCATGTTTCTACCCTCGCCACACAATCCTGAGTATTGTCTGTCTTTCTATATAGGGAAATGCTCAGGGGGGACCCCCTGGGCACCCCCAGACTGCTGGGAGAGAAGTGTTGGCATGGGTCGCTGAGGACGTCACTCTCTCTTGGTTTTTAAAGACAAGAATGATAGCATAAATCATGTGCACAGCTAAAAAACCGAAAAGCTACCTAGTTTATCATAAAAAGTCCAGTGAGATCTCTCCGTGCAAGCTCTTGGGAAGTGAGTCACATTTCTATTTCTATTTCCCATGTTTTGGGACATGCCACAGTCCACATTCTAGTTTTCAAGGTAGAAAATAAAGACACAGACCTTCTAGCATTGCCATCTTGTGTTGCGACCTGCCACTGCTTGTCCAGACGTTGGGGTCCAAATCCCCCGCAACCCAGCCATACCGTAAGGCTTTTCTACCCCTCCAAGTTCTCGCTTGGGAAGCTGCCCCCTTGTGCCTGCCGGATGTTGCTTCCCTAGACCCCAGAGCAGGGGCTCTCACCTGGGAGGTCAAGGGCCACAGCCCGGTAGCCCCTCTGCGCCAGCAACTGCAGCGTGCCCAGCTGCTCCCACGTGTGCGAGTTAAAGGCCTTTCCGTGGAGTAGCATCACCTCCACCCTGTGGGCACACAGGGGAGTGTGTGTCCTCGGGGTCTGGAAGTGGGCTGCCCTTCTTTCTTTCTAGGCTTCTCCCACTGCCCTCCCAGGCCCTGAGCACCCTGAGTTGAGCTGGGGTCCCACACAGGGACTCCCCTTGGACCTAGACCTTCCACTACACCCTGAGGTCAGCACCCACCTGCGTGCCCGGTGGAGCGGCAGCACCTCGCGGTAAAAGATGGGGGAGTTGCCAGGGGTGAGACCAGCCAGGATTGTGACATTGGGGCCTCCCCAGAGCCAGGAGGTCTGCTCAGGGGGGCCTGGCAGCCCCACGTACAGTAGCATCATGAGCAGCAGGCCCAGGCCCAGCAGGGCTACCTGGGACCGGCTCATGGAGGTCTGTACCACAGTCTGGAGGAGAGGAGAGGAAGAAGAGGCTGGGGCTGTGTCCCCACCAGGTCCCCTGAACCCCACCCCCAAGCCTCACCCAGAAGCCCTCAGTCAAAGGAAGAGCTCAGCCCTTGCCCTTTGTCCTGCTCCGAGCAAGGGTCTGAGGGTTCATATCCAACTACTCCATACATGCAGGGGCAAGGGCTCAGATACCCTGAAGCCTGAGAAGGAGCATCTGAGATCTTTCTGGAGACACACAGATGCTCAATAACCACCATCATCACTGTGCCAGCTAAAACCAGTGCTTATGACAGCCAGATCCTGTGCGTGGCCCTTCTCATACGAGGACTCACAAATCCACATAAGAACACTGGGAAGCAGATAGGATTATAGTTCTCTTGCAGATGAGGAAACAGGCTCAGAGAGGTAAATTCTTTTGCCCAAAATGCAGAGTAGCAGGTAGAGGAACTGGGACTTGAACCCAGAACTGGGCTGCTAACCACCAGGCTACACTCAGCTTGCCAAGGAAGAAACCATGGGGCTGGGAGGCGAGGGATGAACTGGAGCTTTGCTGGTGGACAGAGTAGTCAGACTCATCACAGAGTCATCACATCACAGAGTCATCACAGAGTGAAAGACTGGGGATGCCTGGGTGACTCAGTCGGTTAAGTGTCTGCCTTCAGCTCAGGTCATGATCCCAGGGTCCTAGAATGGAGCCCTGTGTTGGGCTCCTTGTTCAGCAGGAAGCCTGCTTCTCCCACTGCCTGCAGCTCTCCCTGCTTGTGTTCTCTCTATCACACAAATAAATAAATAAAATCTTTTAAAGAAAATAAAAGGGGAAAGACTGTGTGTAAAGTCCCATTTCACTGACAGCATGTTTGGAAATGGTTCTTTTTTTTTTTTTTTATCGCACTGCATATAATAGTGCTTAAATCAGAATGTGTCTTCCAATTGATGGAAATATTCAGTGCTTTATCTCAGCTGATATTAAGTGGGAGGAGGGCTCATGGAGAACATCTGGGATGGAGAAAGGCCAAGGCATGAACAGAATGAATGGGCCCAGGGAGGAACATGGTACACCTCGAAATGGAGGCTGGAGAGACGAAAGCTCCCCCACCCGACGGACTCTTGTAGTCTGGGTCCTTTGCCTGTCCAGAAGGGTTAGCCCTGCCTTTGAGACTCTGCCTTGCCACTTCCTGGCTATGCGTCTTCAGCTTCTCAGTAAAATGGGGAAAAGGATCACCTTGCATCAGCCCTCTCAAGTTTCCTGTGATATTTCAGGAATACAGTGGATCTGACCCAGGGCTGTCCTGTCATCATTTCTCGGGCCTAGGATGAGTACACCTGCCTTATTCACAGATTCCAGTGAACACATCTTTATTGGGTGCCAAGTGGGTGCTGGCCTAGCTAGAAACATATTGGGCACCACTCTCCTCTCCTGGGAGCTTTGACAGTGTTTCCCAAGCCCCCAGCCCCAGATTCCCAGTCCCGGGGTGGGTGGGCAGTGGCAGCCCTTCTGGTGCCAGCGAACAGCCAGGAGCTTAAGGAAGGAAGAGACTGCTCTTCTCTTCTGACCAGGAACAGCAACCTCCAGAGCAGCCTGAGCCTAGGCTCCCACCAGTGGGAGGATCCCCGCCGAGCTCTCCTTGTGGCAAGCCTGCTCCGAGGGAGAGGCGGGACTTTGGCTGTTGCCTTGGCAACCTAGGCAGCTGGTGCACTAGACCACGGTGGGGGGAAGCTAGCTGGCAACTCAGCATGCACCAGACAAGCGTGGGGTCGGTTGGCCGTACCCAACTAGGTCCTTGGCATACGTGTGGACAATGACACACAGGAGTACATGCGTGCACACAAACATCCAGTCTTGTTCCCACAGCTTTTCTTTTGCACAAGCTATTCCTGGCACGGCAGGTACAGGCAGACACACTTGGCCTGCGAGCAAGCGATCCCTTGAATTACGTACCCTCAAAACCAGCCACATAGCCAGCCATCAGGAAAGCAGACTGACACACACACACAGACACACCCGCTTTCAAAATCATGCAGACCCTCAAATTGCCAGCACAGTCATATACACAGCCCCCAAACTGCTCCTGCATACAAGAAACACACATGTACAGGCAAACAGACACACATAGCCTCAAAAATACACACGCACACGTAGCTACACACCCTCAAAATCACGTACACAGAAATGCGCACAGCAGACACAGACACAGGCGTATAGACAGACCGACATCCTCCTCAACGTAGGCACGTAGAAACAGACACACACCACATCGACACACGTGTATCCAGACCCCCGAGAACGCACGCAGACCAAAGCCTGGGCAACACACGCAACACACTAACACAGGGACACTCGCTGGACCCCGCAGCGGCCACTCCCGCAGGACTCTGCCCCAGGGCCCCGGGGGCAAGGGGCGGAGCCAGGACGGCCCGCCCCCGGGCACCCCGCAGCCTTCACTCCCCGGAGACACTCACCGGGCCTACCGGGATCACCGGGCCGGACACCCCAGCGCGGGCCCCGCCCACGCGGAACCAGCAGCCAAACAGCGCCGCCACCATGGCGCTGCCTCCGCCGCTCTGCGGGCGGCTGCGGGGACCAGGCGGCAGAGAGCGCGGCCGGGGAGGCGCGCTTGCGCAGTCGCGCCTCCTAAACCCACGGAGGGGGGGCACTCTAGGCGGTGCCCCAAAACACTTAGGACCGGCCCACTGTCCCGATTTTCCGGATTGTTCTCAGTCCGAAGGCCAGGGGAGAGCCACCGGCTTCTTCCCACCAGGCCGTCTCTATCGTGGGTCAGCCCGTCGTCTGTACAGAGGGGGTAAGGATAAGGACTGTCTTAAGGGCCGCAAAAGATGGGTCAAGCCGTAGCACAGTGGAGAGGAGGCCTCGCTGTTCAACGTCAGATGTTATAGCCACTTGGCGGCTCCTGGTCTCAGTCCAACCGCTTCCCGTACCCCTGCACTTACACAGGCACACGCACTTGATCATAACCCGGGGTGGCCTCTGGGCCTCTTTCACTGCTCTTTATGGCACCTAGCCTGCTGGCGGTATGTGGCCAAGCCAGGCGTGGCAGCCAGGCCGCCGTACAGGGAGGCAGCGCAGGGCCCATAGGACTCCCTCTGTTATAGACACCCTGACAAACAGGCAACATCACACCCATTCTACAAGCCCAGAAACAGATTCGGAGACGCTGTGAAAACGGCCAAGGTCACCTGGATGGACTTTGATAGAACCTCACACTCACGGAGGTCCGGCTTCACCGCCTGCCCGCGCACAACTCTGGGCCTGGGCAGGGTGGGGACGCACGAACCCTTCTCCGCAAGCCGTATCGTGTGCATCTGGAGCAGGCTGCTGGGGCCGCACCCAGCCAGGTGCTTGGAACTCCCGGGGCCGAGGGGTTTAGGGAAACCGAGGCTGCTGGGACAGTAAAGATCTAGCGGCAGCGACGGGCCCTGCGACGGCTTGTGGCCACAAGAGGGCGCCCCGTAGCACGGCCTGGTCTCCGCCCTCGGCCGAGCCACTTCCCCGCTTCCCAGGCCCGGGCCGCAGTCGCCTCCCGCACTCGCCTCTCTCTTAACTGCGCGAGCCTACGCAGCTCCCAAGGTACCGGCCCTGCGCCCCCCGACCCTCTCTTCTTCTCTCCAGTGAGATCCCACCCCCCACCCGGCCCAAGTTCCTCCCCTTCCCATCTCGGCTCCCCAGGTCCCCTCCTCGGGTCTGCCCCCAACCTTCCCACGTGCGCCTTACGGGGCCCAGCGAGCCAGAACCGAAGTCGGCCGAAGGGACCTAGCGAGCCGCCGCGGCGCGGATGACCCGTGCGTCAGCGCGTTGGGCCCCAGCGGGTGGCGCGCCGGGTACTCCGCATTCTTGGCTGGCCGGAACTCCAAAGCCTTTCCCAGCTCTGCGTTCCAGCTTCCGCCTCTGAAAAATGGGTTTTTAACTCCAACCCCGACCCCCTCCGGCCTGCGGTGCCAACCTACAAACTGTAACAGTGCCTTCAAGAGAAAGAGGACCATAAGCAAAATAGCTGCTTACTGTCGCTTGAGCACTTACTGAGCTCCCTCTGTGCTAGGAACCGTGTCCAGCGTTTCACATGCGGGAGCTCGTTTAAGGGAGCTGAGCACTATTGTATTAGCCCCATTCGTAGAAAGGGAGAATAACAATGAGGACAATAATCATAATGGGAGCTCCATGTATTGAGTTCAAGGGCAGGCACCCTCACTTGTCAATTCCTTTTTTTTTTTTTTTAACTCATTCATTCTTGAGGTAGGTTTTATTGCTACTTATTTCAGAAGAGGAAACTGAGGCCCAAGGCCACACAGTTGAGTGGCGGAGGCATAAATAACACCTCGGTCTTCCTCATCTGAAAGCATGTGGAGAGTTCTGGCAGCCTCCTGGAGGCCCCCTTGCTGCTCCCAGAGGGACCCCTGCCCTCTCTGTCCCATCGGGTCGGGGGTTCTGTGGCTCCTCATCAGTCTGGCCTTGGACCACAGGTGCGGCACCAGTACAGCGGCGGTGATGGCTGGAGTGGAGCTTCATGAGGGCACCACCCAGGTGCAGGGCCAGAGCCTCTTCTTCCGGGAGGCTCGGCCAGGCGGTGGGCAGGCTGCCCGCTTCTCAATTCTGCTATTGCACGGCATCCGCTTCTCCTCCGAGACCTGGCAGAACCTGGGCACGCTGCACAGGCTGGCTCAGGCTGGCTACCGGGCTGTGGCCATGGACCTGCCAGGTACCTCTGGGGCAAACTTCTGGACCGGGGTTGTGGGGGTCCTCACCGAGGCCTGGGCCCTGGGGCACTGGGAGGACCTTGACAGGGTGCAGTGCCCTCAGCAAGGCCCTTCCAGTTTCTCAGGTCTCGATCCGGGTGTGGTCTGGACACTGTCCAGCTGGTTCTAACCAGGTTGCCCGGGGCGGTGTCTCAGAGGCTCTGAGCCTGCTTCCTCCTCTGTAATGAGAGCTACAGATTTGGGGGGTTGGCTCTAGTGAGAAGGGACTGAGATACGTGCATATATCGTCGGTACCCAACACCTAAGAATCGGTACTCAGCCAAGTGGAATTAAAATCTTTTGACAGAGCCATAACCGTAGCCTCTGCTGGAAGCCCTAAGGAGTGAGACTGAGTCTCCTGACACATGTGGGGGCGGGGTGGGGCCTGGTGGGTGGCCAAGCCCCCAGTCACCATCCCAGGGACAAAGCCCAGAACTGAGTTCAGTGGTAGGGCAGGAGCAGCCCCAGAACGGCCGTCATAACCTGGACTGGTAGGCCCCAGCCTGTGGAGCCGAGTATGAAGGGGCAGCAGAGCTGACCTGCTCCCCTCACAGGCCATGGCTGGCAGGGTTTCAGGGCCCAAGCGTGGGCCTCCAGGCCCAGATGGGATTGGTTCGGACCATGGTTGGGCTGATGATCTTCCAGGTGAAGGTCTTGAGCTAATCTTTTGGGGGTAGGTGGGGCCTGACTCATTGGAGGGAAGGTACATGTGCAGAGCCAGCTCCTCGACCCCCGTCCACCCTGCCAGCCCTGAGACAGGTGCCTCTTAAGCAGTTAATTCACTTAATTTTCACTGCAACCTGAAATGGCAGATACTTTTTTGTCTCCTTTAACAGATGGGGAAACTGAGCAGCTGAGAGAGGGGTGAGGAGACTTTCCTAAGGTCGCCTAGATAGTTAAGTGAAAAATTGCGACTTGGCCCCAGCTGTGTTGGACTTAAGAGACCAATCCTTTCCAGGACACTCTATGGCTGGGAGAGGTGGGCACAGACATAGAGGAAAATGTCTCGTGCTTGCCACAGATAGGATAGATCTAGGTTGCTGTAGGAATAAACTTGGGCACACTGTGTGCTGCTGGAACCTGGCACAGAGAGATTGACCTAGGAGGGCTTCCTGGAGGAAGGGACTGTCTCTTCCATTTTCCCCATTCAATGCTCTTGTCTTTCCCACACCTGAATCCCTGCAGGCCTGGGGCGCTCCAAGGAAGCAGCAGCCCCTGCCCCTATCGGGGAGCTGGTCCCCAGCAGCTTCCTGGCAGCTGTGGTGGAAGCCCTGGACCTGGGCTCTCCAGTTGTGATCAGCCCATCGTTGAGCGGCATGTACTCCCTGCCCTTCCTCACGGCTCCTGGCTCCCAGCTCCGGGGCTATGTACCAGTGGCCCCCATCTGCACTGACAAAATCAATGCTGAGGACTATGCCAGTGTGAAGGTATCCCCATGTGGGGGGCTGAGATGCCCCTGCCATGAGCAAGAAAGGGTCCATCCTGGGGCCTTTCCTCCACTGGGGGCAGGTTAACGGAGGGGTGTCTTCTTGGGGGGGGCTAAACTACCAAACTCTGCCCTTTTGGTTTACTTAGCAGCAGATTCCTGTGCCTTGGCCTGTGCTAAACTGTGTGCCAGAGCAGACAAAAATCTATGCCTCTGTCCCCCAGGAGCTGGGGCCTCTCCTACCACCCACTGGGCCAGCTTGTCCCTCCCCTTCATTTGGGGTGGCCCCAGGGAGAGACTGGAGTGGTGGTGGGGCTAGAGCTGACCCCCTCTAGGATGTTGGGGCTGGTGTGGTAGATCCCTGTTTACTGTTTCCCTTTCATTTCTCTAGACCTCAACTCTTATAGTATATGGAGACCAGGACCCCATGGGCCTGACCAGCTTTGAGCACCTGAAGCAGCTGCCCAACCACCGGGTGTTGGTCATGGAGGGGGCAGGGCACCCCTGCTACCTTGACAAACCTGAGGAGTGGCACACGGGGCTGCTGGATTTCCTGCAGGGGCTAGCATGAGACCCAGCCCTGCCGATGGGGGTGGCTGCTGGCCTGCTTTGGGCTCTGTCTCTTTCCTCCCTCCATGGGTTCCTGCTCATCACATACATGCAACAGGTGTGTCTGTCTATCTGGGTTCTTGTCTCTAGGATCTGTCTTCTCCTCTTCCTCTTTCTCTTGCAGTGACAGACTAAGGAGGTGAAATCAAGAGGAAAAGCCTCAGGAATCAAGAGACGTAATCTGGTGGAGGGTAATCCATTAGATGGGTTTCTCCTATAGGTTTTCCTGTTCCCTCGCTCTCCTTCCTCTCCCCTGTGCAGCCTCCCCATCCTGTCTCCAGCCTCTTCCTTGGGCTGCCCTGCAGGGCACTCACACCTCCTACTCCTATCTCTTAGACCACAGATACATCCATGTGCACTTGCATGCTTACCCATGTAGAGCCATCCATGTTCCCAGATACGACCCTTCACTCGGGAGCAACCTCATAGGTACAGGCAACTCTGGACTGACATGCACACTGTCACCTACAGCTTTGCATTGCATGCATTGCATGCGTTCACACACATGCACTCTTGTGCTCTCACACAAGCATTCACATGGGCACACACATACCCTCTCAACCATGCAAGCCCCCCACTGTCCAGGAAGGTGGGGACCCTCCTTGCAGGAGACGCTCTGCCAGGCTTAGGAGTAGCCAGCCCCGAACTCCATTCACCCACAGGTTGCAGCTGGCCTCAGACCTTGGAACCTCCGATTTCCCTGCTTTCCCTCCTTTTTCTGGGTGCTCCACACCTCCCCAGGTTATTAGGCCTGGATCTGCTCAACCAAGCTTGTTTCCTGCTCTGAGGTTTGGGGGTTGGGGAGACGGAGAGCGGAGTGGAGGTCGGTGAAAT